GCGGCGGCAGCAGCGGCGGCGGCGGCGTTGGCCTTGGCGCGCCGGTCCAGGCTGTCGCGGCCGCTCACGACGGACCCGAAGCCCTCGCCCGGCACGGCGCCCGGGCGCTTGAGATCGACCGACCCACCGCTGGCGGCGGCGGCGGCGGCCTCGTACGTCTTTCGTCGCCGCTGTCGTTGTTGCCGAGCACGCCGTACCGGCCCGCCACTGGAGCAGTCGCGGACGCACGTCTGTTACGTCTACTACTACTACCGCCGCCACCACCGCCACCCCACCGCCCTTTGTGACCGGGCCCGCCGTCCCTGCTCTCCTTGCTGCCTTTGCGGCCGAAGAAGGCGGCGGCGATGCCGCCGAGGCTGGCGTGCGAGGCGTGGGCGGCGCCGGCGCCCGAGTAGCGGTTCGCCACGGCCAGGTGGGTGCGGTACGCGCGCACCTGGCGCCGGTACAGCCACGCGCAGAAGCCGAGGTACAGCGCCAGCAGGCCCGCCAGGCCCGCGAGCACGGCGGCCGCCACCAATCCCGGCGCCGGCTTCCCCTGCTCCCCGTCGCTGCTACCACCACTTCCTGCAGGTGGCGCGCCGGTCCGCCCCGCGCCCCAGGCCGTCTGCGTGACGGTCGAGCCGCCGGCGGCCGTGACTGTAAAGACGGGCGACTTGCCCGTGGCGAAGGGCCCGTCGGTGGCGCGGCTGGCCGGGGCGGTGGCGGTGGCGCTGCCCGAGGGCCCGCCGCCGATGACGCTGATGACCCTGTCGGGCACGCGGTAGCCGCCGCTGCCGGCCATGACCGAGTTCTCCGGGTGCAGGTCGGGCTGCCGGGAGCGGGCGTCGAAGCGGTCGGCCCACTCGAGGCGCGTGGCGTCGAAGACGTAGATTCCCGGCGAGTCGCAGGCGGCGCTGGCGCCGACGTAGCCGCCCGTCACCACGATCTGGCCGTCGCGCATGTGGCACGTGTGGCCGGCCCGCGGCGACGGCTGGTTCCGGCCGGCCTTGTCGACACGGATCCAGGTGAAGGAGGGGATGGTGAGGATGTACATGTCGTCGTACTGGACTTGGTCTCCCTGGATGTAGGGGGGTAGTGAGGAAGCTGTGTCAGTTTTGTGAAACGTGATTTCTTTTTTTTCTTTTTTTTTCGGAATAACACGGGGAGGCTAGGAACATCTCACAAATGGCTCCAGATTCTGCCCACCAAACACGTGGATCTGGAAGCTGGACGCGTCGGGCGCCGAGGCGACCACGGCGCAGAGGTTGACGCGGACCGATGGTGGGATGCCCGAGGTCTCCTGGTGGTACCACTCGGAGCGGGCAATGTCGTAGACGTCGAGGGTGCCGAGGTTGTCGGCAAAGGTGGTATTGGTGCCGCCACCGAGCCCGATGAGGACGCCCATGTCGCCCCAGCCGGGTATGAAGACGAGGGCGCCGTCGGCGCGCTCGAAGAAGGCGTCCTGGCGCTGGATCCTGCCCTTTGTGATGTTCCTGTACGCGCCCATTTCGCCGGCGCCGCTGGCCCGGAGCGAGTCGACGCCCGTGTTGGAGTAGCCTGGGTGCGTGAACTCGAGCAGCGACTTGAGGTAGACGCGCGCGACCTGGTTGGACCAGCCCGGCGTGGTGGACATGTCCAGGTGGCCGCCAAAGTACCAGCTCAGCCCCAGCTCCGGCACCGAGAGCCCGGCCCCCTCGGCCGAGCGCTGCACCGCCGCGCCGCCCGGCTCCGAGTTGTTGCCCGACGAGGTCTTGGGGCTCTCGTCCTCGGTCCACGACCCGCCCCTGACGCTGTACCGCCACACCGACGGGCGCGAGGGCTCGGCGAAGGGGTTGTCGGCGGACTGGCCGCCGTACAGGTAGAGGTTGTTGTAGTCGTTCCAGAGGTAGCCCATGGCCACCTTTGGCGGGCCCGACGGCTGCGGCAGGCCGTTGAGGATGGGCGTCTTGGTGTCCCACGACTTTGTCAGGTCAAGGGTGAGGAAGTTGTTATCTGGGCGCGCGGGAAGGAAGCAAATGGTCAGCACCACCGGGCTGGCGTGTTGTATCCTCTCCAGTGGGAGGGGTGCATACTCCATGTGTTGGTCTTTTGATCAGCCGACGTCTTGGTTTGCCCGCCGTAGATGTAAACGGTTCCGTTAAGGAGCGCAGCTGTCGTTGTCAGTCGCCCTTCGTCAGCTGATGATGTGTATCATTTGGCAGACGCCCACTCACTCTGATGCGCCCACCGAGTGCAGACCTGGGTCGGGCTGTTGGCTCTGGGGACGAGAGCAGATCCCCGGTCCCGGTCCTGGTGCTGCCACCATTCCCATCGCCGCCCCCTTGGGCTATTGACGACGCCGGCGTCCGCGCCACTGACCCCAACCTTCTGACGGCCGTTGTTATAACTAAAGGCGGGGAGAACAACAGCAATGAGCATGGCGATCATGGTCACTCGGGAAAGGCTCGTGACTGTGGGAGGGGGCGGCGCACTGGCGGCGGCTTTGATCCTCGGTCGCCGGCCCATGGGTAGCTTGCTGAACCACGACTGCTTGGTGGTGGGAGAGGTGGGGGAGGTGAGCACGGGGGTGTCGACGCCGGGGGTGGTGGTGGTGGGGGATGTGGCATTCTCGATCTTGGGGTTGGTATTGTTGGTGTTGCTGCCGGTTATAATGCTGCCGGTACTGGCGCCAGTCGCGTGGTCGTTGCTGCGCGCACCGACCGACGGTTGGGCTTTTGACGAAGTCGATTGGGCCGGTTGCGCCTGGGAACCACGGCTCTGCTGCCTCAGCTGCTGCTGTCCCCCGTTACCGCTCTCTCGTATTGCCGTGGCCGCCCCTGTCGCGCCAGGCGCACCGCCACGGCCGTCCGGACCCGCCTCCTGCTGTGACACGACGATCCCCGGCAGCCCGCCGCCGTCATTCGTCGCTTGACGAGCGGTCGAGGTGGACGACAGGGACGCAAGGTCGCCGAGCTGCTGCCCCCTGCTGTCCTCGGGGAAGGCCGGCGGTGTGCCACTGCCTCCATCCTTACCGGCGTTGGCGTAGTCGTCGTCCACCAGCCCTACCTCCCTAAACATCGACCTCCTCTCCTTCCTCATAGCGGGGCTGGCGCTGCCCGACATGGAGGGACATGTAGCAGGGAGCCGGTTCGTGCTCTCTCTTAGTCGGTCCTGGGTATTGTGGCTGTTGAACCGTGGCCTGTGTGGCTCCAGTGTTGAAGGGTCGGCTGTCGTCGACGGTGATGGTGATTGGGTTGATAGTCTGCTGCGCGAGATTTCGCGGCTGGGGAGTTTGACAGCGGGCATGGCCGGCTAAGCTAATTGTATTTATTGGATTGTCTCCGAGTACAGCACTTGGCTAGTTGCTTCCCTGACAGGCTGCGAAGCGTGCGGGCGTGCCTAGGGTCGCCACCAGCTACTGCATGGCCAACTGGTGGTGTAGGGGGCGGGGTGCCACGCCTGAAAAGACAGCATATGACAGGTCAACCGTTGCGATGAGGTCACAAGGTCACAGCCTGTTTTGGATATGGAAGCAGTCGCAGCTGTCTGTGGTGTGTTTCTGTTCGGAGAATTTTTGATATACGATTGGAAACCAGGGGTAAAAGCGACAGCGGGATGTGTGGAGGGGTCTGGGGAAATAAAAGGCAAGTCTGGATCCTGAAGTAGGGGACAGTTCCTTACCATCCATCTCTATTCTCAGTCTGGCCAACTTTTGAGAAGCCTGAAAAGGGTGACAGTAAAAAAAAACACCAGGAACAGAGCAGCCAAGCACGCCGTGATTCATCCATAGCTTACACCGACGGGCTGACGTCGATGATATCGCTGGATACCACATCGTCACGACTACGGAACCAGGGGCCTGGGCAGGCGATGGATTGGGGCCAATCAGTGCAAGACCGGCATCGGGAGAATGGCAGCTTCGACGATGGCTGCGAGGGGACAGCATTTCAGAGGCCGTGGCCGTGGCCGAGGACACCCATCCTGACGGAGACCCCTTGAACCGACCGTTGGGCATGCTGTTAGGAGGGAGCTTTCCTTCCCCGGGTCAATTTAAGAGGAGCAGGGGAAGAGCGCGAAAGACTGGATCGCGACATCATCGATGATCAGAGACATGTCCGATGATTGGGTGTCCAGGGCCGCGTCCCAGATTTTATCCCTGCCACACCCCAAAATCAATGCAGCCGCCGTATCGGCTGGGGTTGGTGCGTGAGAGTGCGGTGCAGCTGGGGTGCTGGGCAAGGGTGGTGGGATTCTTTGGACTCTGGGTCCGAGGTTGCTCTCCATGATTGGCTGACTGCACACCATATGACCTCATCGACCACCACCGCCACTCTTGCTCCAGTGCGGGCGGGCGATATTCATGGCGGCGATATTGGCTTGGCAAACAGATTTGTCCTCTCGCGATTCCAACTTGAGCTCTCGATCGGCCGTCCTTGACTATCCCGCCACTTGCGTGCCTGTCTCAGGCCTACATTGTTAGAGCTGAACAGCACCTAGGTCCCATCTCTCCCAGGAGCTACTAATAACCCTTGTTTCTCTACATTCCAACAGATGCAAATCAAGACGGTAGGGCTGCGTGTCTTGGCTCTAATATCGCCATTGCCCGTGAAATCAGGACGTGCTGATTTTAGCTTCAAATCTGAAGCCCGCATTGTTGAGTCGCTCGATAAAGGGCTGCCCAAGGCAAGCTGGAGTGTAGATTCCGCCCCCAAGCTGCAAGTCGGCATAGTCTTCCAGAATACTTAGAGCTGCCTGGGCGAGAATGATCGCAGTGACTGTAAAGAAAAAGATTCCGCCGTAAAGTTAGCAGTCGTGTACTAGTTAGGTATCCGCGGTAGATATCCATAGAAGCGTGATTGTCAAGCACGTACGGTGATACATGCTCCCTTGAAACCGGGCTTCGCAATACGCCCGCTTAGCAGCTTCGGCCGTCGTATCCGCATCGGCGACTGCCCGCAACTGGAGGCTCTCGCGCGCGCCCTCCTCTCGACTCTTACCCTGACCAGGCTGGGTGAGAAAGCGTCGGGCCAGGCGCCTGAGCGGCGACGGCGTCATCACGAGCATGAGGCCACCCAGCGCGAAAGCGAGGTGCATCGCGAACCCCCGCAGTCGACTGGGTGCCCGCATGTACTCCCTGAAGCTGAAGTTGGGCCCATACGCCTGCGGCTGTCGCGAGGGTGTCGTCGCCAGCAGACCCCAGGTCCGCTCGACGATGGCGACGTTCGTCCGGCCGGTGAACGATGTCGTGAGGAGCCCCAGGCCGGGCACGGTGACCAGGCCGGTCAGCCGACGCATGAGTGACGGCTTGGGACCGCGTGAGCGGTTGGGGTTGGGGGCAGGGGACAGGGCATAGGGCTTCAAGGAACGCGAAAGCTCCTTGAGGGAGAACCTGTCCAAAATATTGAACACGGTATCGATTGTGCCCCCAGATGGCGCGGCGCTGTATTGGATACCATTTGGTTAGGTAACGAATCGAGCATGGCTAACCAGCATTTGAAAGGCCCTTCTGGCTATGTTGGGTTACTTAGTATCAGGGGCTCTCTTACTCCATATTGAAGGACAGTGTGACGGTCCCGGTTTGCGCGCCCAGCTTCTCCCTGATGATAGAAGCGAGCGAGAACGCCATGAGGTCTGATGGGGCCGACTCGATCCCGATCTGGGGAAACATGAGCGCGCCATTGGATTTGGCCGTACCCTCGTATTTCTCGATCATTTTCAAGACCCAAGGCACCTCTCCGGTGACATCCAGATAGTGCGTTCCATTCTCGGCGCAAGCCTTGAACGCGTGCTCGCCATATACGCAATATGGGCCAACCGTCGTCATGAGTATGGCCGTCTTTTTGGCGAGGGCCGCGAGGCTCTCATCGTCAAGAGAACACACTTCCAGGGCTACTCGACGTGGGATTTAGAGTGCAAGAGACGTCAGCGAGCCTTGCGCTTGCTTTTAGTATCAGACAAGTTATTGCAGATGCCTACCGGGCTGGCTCCTGTCAGGATGCTGGGCCTTGAGATCCGTTGCTATCTTTGCGAGCTTGCCCCGCGATCGGCCCGCAATAGCCCAGCTGAGATCAGTAGGTAGGGAGCCCGCTATATACTCTGCAGCATAGAGACCGGTATAACCTATGGGGGCAACATGTCAGCTTGGAAACGTTGCTCTGAACCAAAGCCTCTATTGCCGACAAGGTTGTACGTACCGGTGGCCCCAAATAGGACGAGATCATATTGGCGACTGTGCTGTAGTTTTCTGGATGGCATGCCGCCTGAAAGTATATTCGAGGAGTGAGGAGTGAGGATTACCCAAGGTACCCAAAGTCCGATGGCGGTTGTCGTGGCTGTAGTGGCGGTAGTGTATTGTGCTCTTGTGGGTGTGCGTTAGTTTGAGGTTTGATGTCGCCTGGACAGTGGTGCATTTGGTTGGAAACTGGACATGAAGTCCCCCAAAAATTCAATGCAATTGGCCCTGCAGCTAACCCAATTCCGGACCCTGGTAACGCAACTGCAGTACGCGTATCATGTCCGACAGTGGATGCCACAGAAACGAAGAGACGACGACTGCCACCGATATCTATGCCGCCTAGACGAGCTAGACTTGGGTGAACTTGGTGAGTCAAGGTGTGCAATCAACCATCTCGTCTGAATGACGTAAACACCTCTTGCCGAGCAGTATTTTCGGAATCTGGGGAAGTGTGGTGGCACAGAAGATCACATGCATGGTTCGTTTGGTCGGCCAACGTGGCGCCAGTACCAATTGAGCGCCCGTGCCGTGATGGGTGGCTTTTTTTTGTCTTCATTTTACATCCCCGCATTCTGCCACACCAACAGGCAATTGAACTGAAAGCCCTGGAGCATTGATCCCATCTGGTCTGGATGCTCAAGACGGGCCACCCCAGCACTCGCTTCAGTGTTCCAGTGCTCCAGTGCTCCGCAAACATCGTCGACCCCCGTTTCTGCACACTGCCCCGTCAACCCGAGAAAGGGCAAAACGGCTGCTGACGGAGTGGAGCCAGACGCGCACGCGGAAAATCTTGCAAGACGTCATTTGCGCTGAATCGCTCGCCCAAAACACACGCGACAGCGCTCGCAAACACCAGACACGGACACGGACAGCTGGCGGGAGTTGAGCTTCGGTCGGAGCCTCCTCGTTGACCACCAGTCAAGTCGCCCACCAATTCGTCCAGCCTTTGCTGCCCGCGCCGTTGCCAACTCTAAACCGACCGCACTAGCTCCCCTTCTCCGTCGCTGCCCCATGAGCCGTCGTCGAATTTACTTTTGCCCTCTCCCTCCCCTGAAACGCAGCGTCGCCGGCCCGCCGCTGCTCTCCCAAGCTTTTGCTGCCAGGTGACGAAGCACGCCCGCCTGGGAGATCCCTGCACTACCGGCAAACCACCCAACAGCTCGCTGGACAAGGCGACCATGGCCGACGCCTCCTCAGAGACCTCGCCGCTGCTGCCGGCCGTGTCGGCAGGCAGCTCGCCCGTGTCGCCACGCCCCAACGCGAGGCGCACCGTGACCTTCAACCCCAACCCGGTGACGAGGACTATCGAGCCCGACCCACCCGCCGTCCGCCGTCGCGTCTCCCACGACGTGTCGCACCACTCTCGCCCTCACTCGCTGGGCGGCTCGGCCCCCTCCACCCCGGCCAGCACCATGAGCGTCGGCAGCCTGGCCGCTGGCCCGCCCATGTTCGCCACAATAAACAACAAGCTCCGCCGACGCAACTCCCATGGCGCTATTGGCGCCACCTACCACGGCGGAGCTGCCAACACCAATGGCCACAACCTGCTGCCTGCCCCTGGTGGCCTCGGCCTGCACCCGGGCGCTATCAAGGTCGGTCCGCAGCGGAGCACCAAGAAGGCCCAGAAGCTCAAGCTGTTGCCGACCCCCGAGCAGATGCTCGGCGAGGAGCTTTCCCCCGACGAGGAGAGCGGCCGCGAAGTCTACAGCCAATACACGCGCATCAAAGACCCCACCGCGCGTAGGGACGCCGCCCGCCTCGGCAAGGCCGACCGCGACCGCCTGCCCCGCGTCACGGCCTACTGCACCGCGAACCGCTACCAGATGGAGGGCCTCATGCGCTTTCTCAAAGGCGGCCGTGGCAGGGCAAAGGGGGCGAACCCCAAGCTGATCGATGAGTGTATATACACCCCGTACCAGTACAAGGACCTCCCGCTTCCCGAACGCGGCGCCAGGACCACCGTCAGCAAGGCTTCTTCCACTGCCGTTGGTAAAGACGACGGTAGCAATCCCGAGGGTGCGCAAGGAGCGGGGGAGAGGGGGTCGCCGCCATTGAGACGCCACTCGACGGGCGAGGTGGATGCTACAATTCCCAGATTTAGCCACGGAGACCTTATAGACTTGGAACCGGAGCCGCTGCCAGAAGTGGAGCCTGAGACCCCCGATCTGGGGAGACCTAGGAGCCGCGAGGGCCAGAGCCACGGCGAAGACCACGAGCACAACAACGGTTTCCACCCGGAGAGCACGAGCCATACGCACGGCGACATGATCGGCGGCCCCGCCGCAACCGTCGTTGGCGACGATCGCGCGCTGACGGAGAGGCCGGCCGATCTGGACATCGAGGTGCACACGCCCGAGGTCTTCCTTTTCGACTACGGCGTCGTGGTCATATGGGGCATGTCGATCGCGCAGGAGCAGCGGTTCCTTAAGGAAATTGCCAAGTTCGAGACGGAGAAGCTGGCGCTCGAGGACGTCGAGACCGAGTACTTCAACTTCTACTACACGCGCGAGTATCAGCCCAGGATATACAACGACTTTATCACGTTGCGCGACAAGAAGAATTACATGACCAAGCTGGCCATTTCGCATGCGCTGGCCCAGAGTGTCAAGGTAAGGATAACTGGCACACACACGCTTGACTTATCGAGAATGAGGTAAACTGACAAACACCACCGATAAAGACGTCCCTGTTCGAAGAGCTTATCGCATCCACCATCGACACGTGCAAGGATATCCCGACGCAGATTGCGCTCACAGGCAAGATCAACCTCAGCCGGACGCGTATCAACATGCAGATCGGGGAGCTCTTCATCCTGCGCATCAACATCCACCTCAATGGCTCCGTGCTTGACACGCCCGAGATCTTCTGGGTAGAGCCACAGCTCGAGCCGCTCTATCAGGCCGTGCGCACGTATCTGGAGATGGACCAGCGTGTTGGCTTGCTGACGGAGCGCCTAGACGTCATTGCCGACCTCCTCGCGGTTCTCAAGGATCAGCTCAGTCACGGTCACGGCGAGAAGCTCGAGTGGATTGGTATGTGGTGCTTTTGTTTTGTCCGGAATTTGCATTAGGAGTCATCTATGCTAACCTACCACCTTTGTCAATAGTCATCGTCCTCATCGCCGCCGAGATCCTGGTGGCCTTGATTAATATCGTTGTAGACTTGTACGCAGGCGTTGACTGATAACAGTCGTACATCTTCTCGATTTATCCCATGTTATTATATCATATATCTTGTACTTTTTGCCAGCATTCCCTTTGTCTTGTTGCTTCTGCGCCCCCACAATTAAGTTGCTTCTTAGGGGCGACTTCATCCTCATAATGCATTTGACGTCGCGGGCGGTTTTTTGTTTCCTTTTCTTTGCTTGGTGTGCGTCCGATTGGCGCCCGAGGAGTTGCGGAACCATCTAAAGCGGTTTCTCTTTTTGATTTTTGCTCGCTCTGCATTCGAGGTCTAGGGCCAAAAAGAAGATAACGAGGAGAGGTCTAGGCGGCGCGACGGGTTGTCACGCCTTGACAGCCAGCACGGGTTGAGGTGTAGGATTAGTTTAGTCGAAGACAGGTGTATAATCGCACATTCCCCAAGCACACGCTCCCGCGAGGACAGGAAAGAGACAACAGTAACGACAACATGGAAAGAAGTTAGGGTTGGAATAGCATAGGGAAACGACTAGGACAGGCTGCCATTCTTGGAACCACATTCCCGCCATATGTAACCGCCGTGACTCCATATACAATAGCCACATTTTCCTTCGTCAGCTGCCCCCTGTCCAACAAGCAAGCTATAGATAAGAGTTTCATTCATATGCGGCGGTGCAAGTCTTTAGTAGAAGCCATACTGTCTTCGCTCTCGCTCTCGCTGGATGAGGCCAAGCAGCCAAACAACAAGCAGGTCCATATAAAAAGAAACCAGCCTTGCCCCCCCTATTATCATGTCCTTAAGTGTTTTGAAGCGCCAAACTCCACCACGCCCAGATATCCTTCCATTTCGGTAGACAAGAAAGAAGCCGCCAGAGGGAAGCCAAGAAAAAAAGCACTGAATTCGAAGCATTTCGCGAGGTCAAGGCAACACTGCCAAGGTCAAAATGGAGGTCCGGTGGACCCCGGCTGCGGGCTTTCCTAAAGAGGCTCTTGGAGCAGCAGGTAGGGCAACCAGTCCGAAAATTGGGCGCCCTACTCCTTGTCCCCGGCGTCGGGCTCCGTGTCGTAGTTTGCCATCTCGACGTCCTCATCCTGCGCCGCGGGCTCGTCGGCGGGGCGCTCGATCTTGACGATGGGCACGGCCGACGACGACGGGGCGCGCTCGGCGCGCTCGGCGGCCGCGTCGTCGTCGTCGTCGTCGTCGTCCTTGCCGGCGCTCTGCTGCTGCTGCTGCTCCTTCTTCTTCTCGTACGCGTCCTTGTCCTTCTCGTACTTTGCCACCTCTTTCTCGTACCGCGCCTGGAACTCGTCCCTGTCGGCCTCAGGCAGGTCCTTCCAGCGGCGCTCGAGCTCCTCGTCGATGCCGGCGGCGGCGTTGTCCTTTCCTTTGTCTGACGGCTCGTCCCTGATGGTCTCGTCCGCGTCCGCGTCGTCGGTGTCCTTGTCCTTCTGCTTCTTGTCACTCTTGTCCTTGTCCGCCGCCTTGTCGTCGGCCTCCTTAGCCTTGTCGGCCTCGAGCGACGGGCGGACGTCGCGGCAGTAGAGCTCAAAGGCGGTGCTCGGCGCGCGGGGCGGTCCCGGGTGCTTGCCGTTGGCGCCCGCGTTCCGCTGGCTTTGGGAGTCGGCGTTGGTATGCGACAGGGCGTCCGAGGCGGCGGGCGATCCGCCGCCAAGGCCACCGCCCGACGTCTGGCTGATGAAGGTGGACCCGGGCGCGCCGGCGGGGTCGCCGCTCGGGTTGGCCGACATTTTCCTATGTCCGCGCTTCGTCCTTAGGGGCTTCTCCTTGGGCTAGAGGAGAGGGTGGTCAGTTTTCATTCCCTGGGCATCGTCATGCGAGATAGGCCCATGGCTCGTCTAGAAAAAGGGATATGACCAAAGACAACCAAGAGAGCGCGTGAACTGACCGTCGGGGGAGGGCTAGGGCTGCCGTCGGAGTCCTCGACGTTTGGGCTTATCCTCTTGGAGAGCTGCTCGAGGAGGAAGGCGCGCTCGATGCGCATCTTCTCGGCCTGACGGTTCAGACGGGCCAGGCGTAGACGCGAGGCCTCATTGGCCTCTTCGACTTCGGCGGTTCGCTGCTTGAGCTGGATGCATTTGCGCCGGTACGCCTCCTCGACCGAGGGCGGGAGCGCTGGCGTTGCTGCGCTGGCTGCGCCGTTGGGAGGGGAGTCGTCAGCCTGCGAGTCCATTTTGACGTGGGATGCCAGTTGTTGATGCATGTATGGAGTGTCTGTCTATGTAGCAAGGAAGAAACTGCGGCGCGGCAAAGAAGAGCAGAAATAGGGCTGGGATTTGAGTTCAGAGGCGGAATTGGGGCGCGATAACAAGCTCAAGCAGGCGGGAATGGAATCAAAATGGGGCTTGAAGAATTGGTCGGGACTAATGCACGGGTTGATGCTTACAGGGAGCCATTGTGCGAGAAGGCTGTGTGGTTTTAGTTTTATTGCGGCCGAGATTGGAAAGGCCAAGATGGCGTCGCGGTGACGCTTGGGTAACCCGATCGACGACGGCCTGTCCAACACGCGGCGCGCAAATCAGCAGTCAATCCAGGGCGTTTATCATGTCGACTCGGGAGCTGGGGTCACTCGCTCCCAGGTACCTGAGGTGCTGAGGTGGGTGATGTGGACCCCAGTTGACTGTGCTGCAATTGGCTGTCACCTTACGTTACCCACCCAGAACTTTTTGGAGGGGCCCGACATGCATCGATAGCAGCTACCGCCACTTGGATCACCAAGTTCACCACCATCGACGGGCAAAACTCGTGCTTTGGGATCCTTCAACTCTCCAGAAACGCCGCCATGTCGTTAAACATCCCAAACGCCCCCAACGCGGGCCTGTTCAAGGGCGGTTACAACAAGTAAGCTGTCAGCTGCTACCCTAGTTGGGATAGAGCAGAAATCCCAAGCCCGCGCGACCCCCACCTTCGCCTTCACCTTGCTCTCGCATCTAGCAGGCGTAGCACACACCCGTCTGCCAGGCACTAACCCCTTGACCACCACCACCCCAGCTACGACTCGGAAGATGGCGCCGTAATCCGTAATATCGAGGCCTGTCGGGCAATCTCGACGACGGTCCAGACCTCGCTGGGCCCATACGGCCGCAATAAGATCGTCATCAACCACCTGCAGAAGATGATCCTGACCTCGGACGCCGCCACCATCCTGCGCGAGCTCGACGTTGTCCACCCGGCCGCCAAGCTCCTCGTCATGGCCAGCCAGCAGCAGGACGCCGAGATGGGCGATGCCACCAACCTGGTCATCGTCCTGGCTGGCGAGCTGCTGCGCAAGGCTGAGGATCTGCTGCGCATGGGCCTCAAGACGGCCGACATCGTCACGGGCTACGAGCGCGCCCAGATCTTTGCCCTCGAGGCCCTCGAGGAGCTGGTTGTCAACAAGGTTGAGGATCTGCGCAACCAGGAGGAGCTCAGCAAGGCCCTGCGCACCGTCATCGCCAGCAAACAGAACGGCAACGAGGACTTCCTGGCCAACCTCGTCGCTGAGGCCGTGCTTGCCGTCCTGCCCAAGAACCCCGCCAACTTCAACGTCGACAACGTGCGCGTCGTCAAGATCATGGGCGGCAGCCTGGATCAGAGCAAGGTCGTCAAGGGTATGGTCTTTGCCAAGGAGCCGGATGGATCCGTCAAGAAGGTTTCCAAGGCCAAGGTCGGCGTCTTCACGTGCCCCATCGACATCAGCCAGACCGAGACCAAGGGGACAGTGCTGCTCAAGAACGCCAAGGAGATGCTCGACTTCAGCAAGGGCGAGGAGGAGCAGCTCGAGGCCGCCATCAAGGAGCTGCACGACGTCGGCCTGCGCGCCGTCATCGCCGGCTCTACGGTTGGTGACCTGGCCATGCACTACCTTAACCGCTACGGCATCCTGGTCATCAAGATCCTGAGCAAGTTCGAGCTTCGCCGTATCTGCCGCGTCGTTGGCGCCACCCCGCTTGCCCGCCTCGGCGCCCCCGTGCCCGACGAGATGGGTTCCGTGGATGTGGTTGAGACTGTCGAGATCGGCGGTGACCGTGTCACCGTGTTCCGCCAGGAGGACGAGGCCACCAGGACGGCCACCCTGGTCCTGCGCGGTGCTACCCAGAACCACCTGGACGACGTCGAGCGCGCTGTCGACGATGGCGTCAACGTCGTCAAGGCTATCACCAAGGATGCACGCCTCGTCCCGGGTGCTGGCTGCACCGAGATCCAGCTGGTCGAGCGCCTGCAGGCCTTTGGAGACAAGACGGCTGGCCTGTCGCAGTACTCTATCAAGAAGTTTGGCGAGGCCTTTGAGGTCGTCCCCAGGACAATCGCCGAGAGCGCTGGTCTGGACGCAACCGAGGTCCTCAGCAGGCTCTATGCGGCTGCCCACAAGAAGGAGAAGTGGACTACTGGTGTTGATATTGAGGTAAGCCCATTCCCCTCCATCTGGGAACCTCTCTGTGACAGGCGTGTTCTAACCAGTAGCAGAACGAGGACGAAACCGGAACCCTGGACGTCAAGGAGCATGGCATCCTGGACCTGCTCGTAGCGAAGCAATGGGCCATCAAGCTCGCCACCGAGGCCGCGCGGACAATTCTTTCTGTAGACCAGATCATCGTCGCAAGACAAGCCGGCGGACCTAAGCCGCCAGGACCTAACCCGGTAAGTGCACCGCCATTGCCATGAGCCACTATCCACTTCACACCTGAGCCACAAATCGCTAACGCATAGTTATCTTGACCGAAGAACTGGGATGAGGACTGAATTTCGGAAAAGTGACGCATAGCGAGGGTATAAAGGCGCTTGGTTTGACTTTGATATCCCAAACGCCCATGGGTTATGAATCAGGACTTTAGGGGCGTCTAGACAAAATACATGTTGCTAGGCTTGATGCGTCGTGTCTTGATCTCTCCCCTGCTGGGGTTACTGTAGATGTATCTCCATAGTGGTGACATATGGGGCGCGTGCATGGCACCTAGATTATTGGGTCCCATATCAGGATTTGTCGCTTAGGTCTACTTTCATGTGCTCTTTTCCGCCGTGACTTTTAATGTTGTCTGTTCACCATGGTATAGCTTGCGTTCTCAGCGGTCCTTCACAGTCCTTGGAGAAACTTGTCATAATGGCTTTAGAGCATACATTTCATTACCTAATTAGCTGGAAGCAATCTTCAAACGCCCACTGACATGACCGCTGTATATCCTCAAATTAGCGTAGCTTTTCTGGGTCAGGTGGGCTCCCCTTACAATCCATCTCTGACCCTGGCGCCAGGTTGACCCCTGACCCCTGACCGGCCGCCTCCTCGCCAGCCGCCCCGCCAGCCGCCCCGCCGTTCGCAGCCCTCTTCTCGTCAGCGCCGACCCTGCCGCCAATGACACGACCCCTGACATGCTGCTCGACCTCGTCCAGCTTGATATCCCGCATGAGCAGCGACAGCAGCACGATGGGCACGCACACGCACACGGCCACGGTCAGCAGGCGCGTCATGCCGCGCTGATAGGCGCCCTGGACCGCGACGCGCTCGGGGCTCCCCCACTCGAGCGCCATGGCGACGACGTGGCTCGAGTAGATGGCCGTGGCGTTCCCCTTGCTCCCCTCGGGCAGCAGCTCCGCGAGCGCGGCGGGCACGACGCGGGACCAGACGGCGCCCGAGACGGCGGCGCCCACGGCGCCGCCGAGCTCGACGAGGGTCAGGAACACGGCCGTGGCGGCCGCGACGGACTGGTGCGACGACGCGGCCTGCACGCCCAGCTGGGCGGGCACGTTGAGCATGCCCCCGCCGACGCCGACGCAGATCTGCGTGCCGACCAGCTGGCCGACGGTGGCGTCGACGTCGCGGTAGCGGATCATGAGCCCGACGCCCGTGAGGTAGAGGAGCGCGCCGGCCGTGACGAAGTACTTGTAGCGGCGCGTGTAGCGGATGGCGACCGAGACGAGGATCGAGGTCACGGTCGAGGTGAAGCTGAAGGTCTGCGAGATGCGCCCGGCCGCGGGGATGCTGACGCCCTGGACGACGAGGAGGTACGAGTAGAAGTAGGGCTGGTGGGACATGTAGAAGACCACTGGTTTTGCTGTTAGTGGGTGGAGAAGCAAGAGAGAGAGAGAGAGAGAGAGAGAGAGAGAGAGAGAGAGAGAGAGAGAGAGAGAGAGAGAGAGAGAGAGAGAG